AGAGAGTGTGTTCTGTACGTCCACAGGCCTTTGAGTAAAGCTGTGACTTCTGTTCTCAACCTTAAAAACACATCCTGGTAGTTTCCTCTTTTGTTGCAGTTTGTGTTTCAGCGCTGCAGATTGCTGTTGTTATTGCCTGTTCAAAGAACTCGAACATGTTAGTGAGGCAGGACCCTTTTCTAAATCCATGCCCTATATTACCTTGAAGACTTTTTCAAATTGTGATACACGTAACACAAGCTGGAAAAGCTTTGCCTGTACCCCATTTCCCCCCTCTTTCTTCCATGTGTGGCATTCCATTTACAATGTGCAACAAGTATGAATGCTTTTTTTCTTTTCCCCCTGAAGCTGGAAAGCATCAGAAAAGAGGAAACCCAAGGGCAGATGAGCTTACTATATTTAGCTCAGTAGACAGATGTTTTTTTGGAATTAATCTATTTTTAGCTTTTTCAAGTTTGTGTTTAAAATGACATGGCTGTAAACAAACTATTCAACCTATTTCATTACACTTAATGTTAGGCTGACAGCCAGAGTGTCTCTATTAATGGATAATGATGGACGACCCCTGAGGTCCTAAAGTTAAATGCTTACTATTTAAAGAAACTAAGACAAGGTTGCATTTTAGAAAGTGCACCTTCATTTTAAATGTTGACAGGCTAATTGTTTTTCCTTAAATACCTGCATAAATGAAGGCTCTGGTCTGTGTTTTGTGATTGTATGTCAATCACTAAATGTCTTTTTTTTTGTCTGTAATGTTGACACATGCTGACAGCATTAGATTTAACAAGGGGCTACGGTTGTTACTACTGTGCTTTGAAAAAAAATGAGGTCAAAGAGAGAATACAGTTCAAATAGAAACATATTCAAGATGTGTTTATGATATGGAAATGAGATTCACAGGAGTTTCTGTTCCATGTACTTTATAGATCTCATGAAAATAAGGTAAACTGTTTCTGCTACTTTTCCTTGTCTCTCTTTAGCACAGTTATGCAATGACTTTGTTGAAACATTTTACTTTAAATATTAATTTTAACATTTGTTATGTTTTTATTATTCCAGTATTGTAAAGATAGGAAAAGATTATTAATTTTAAAATCACAAAACACAGTAATACGCTTTGACAACAGGCTGCCTACTTACTGTAAATATACATAAGAATACAAGTTTGACTTGGGGCTGAATTTGGTAAAGTAGTGCATCATAATTTATTAAGGTAGTGCATTTGTTAAAATAATACATTAAATAGACAATCAAACTGGTTGGTTGAATTGTAGATCATTTTTATTCTTATTCATTAGTCCACAGATTAACTTAGTATTTCTCACTTTAAAAGTGTGTAGTTCATCACAGTGTTATGTAATATTTCCCGATAATAATAATGCTACATCCTTTAAACTAGCAATAGAAATATTAATAATAGCAAAAAGAAAAAAAACATACAGCACTACTATTATTTTGCATTGCATTTATAATCTATTAAATACAAAACTTGAAAAACAATGTTATCAGTCGCTTATAGTTTACAATTGATTTAAGCCATGTTTAAGACCTCAAAATCCTGGTCTTTATGGGAACAAGAAACATTTAATTGCATTCATGCGGGTTGTTTATCAGTTTCTACGTGAGCCTTTTTTTGTGCCCGCAGACAGAAGGTTTGGCGGGAGCCCAGTTGTTATGAGGTTTGTAAACTGCTGCCTCCCGAAAGGCACTGATGCAATGAGTGGAAAAGGTGAATAAAAATCATTAAGACTAAATAAATAAACGTGCTCCTGTCAACAGTCCCAGCTTAATTCAGTAAAAAGCAGCGGGTGAGGCAATCTGGTCTCTACAAACCACTTTCTTATAAACCTATGAGCCAAATATATTAACCAAGCTGCTGTGGCAGTGGGCAATGTGCTTAATTTCTTAAAGTGTGATCTCACTATACGTAGGTCAAATATATACACAGACAGACAGACGTTCCCCATATAAATACGCTATCCAGGAAGAGTTTTGAAAATGCCTTTGAGGTATTAAGGAAAATGCTTTTCAGACTGGATGAAGGAGTGAACGTAGGAATTATTTTAAAAACAGCAATACGCATTCTGAGAAGAGTGAAGAGAATCCAGTTAAATCCAGAGTTTAGGGATCTGAGTCAAAAAATGAGTGAATTGACATCTGGGACCACAACATCCCCCAGACCTGTAGCTACTTTGAAAAGTTCCACCTATTTCCTTGTTGGGTTACAGACTTCACAAAGTTTCAGGACTGTGCAGTAACGTCCACTTATTACCAGCCTCGTGAATGTATTTTTATAAAAAAAGGACAACACACTTCTTTACAAATTGGGGACAGTGTTTTTTTTCCTCTACAGTAAGTTTATAACATGACGTTAAATAGAAACCATTGTCCAGAAAATCTCAAATGGCAATTTGAAATTTAAGGAATTTCATTTGGAAAATAGAACTTAATTTTCTAAATAATCCTGATGACTGCACTTAAAAATATCATCTTTTGGACATCCTAAAAGCAGATGCTGCTAATAGTATATATACAAATAAAGAAAACACCCCACATTGAAATAAATGATGAGAAAAAGCATGTAATATTTGTCAACAGTAAACAAAAATTGATAAAAGGAAGACTGTAAGTAAAAAATAAATTTTGAAAACAGTCCTTAATTAATGCTTTCTGCAGTTAAAGAACATTGGAAGCAGTTTGAAGTATATTAAATGTTTTTTAAGCAAGCCACTGTCGACAGTGGACAGAAAGCTGGAAAGCACAAATTTCATCTGAATTTTACCTTTACAAGAGTGGCAGTACTTATCGTCATTACGAAGTGCAAAAATGAAAAGTGACAGGATTTTTTTCATTGGAAAAAACAATATCCTTGTTAAATTAACATTCTGATGACTGAACCCTCCTTTGTATCCCTACTGGTTTCATTCAGCACCTAAATAAAATAATGAATTCTGACGTTATTTTTACAATTAAATAGAAACAAAACCTGCACACAGTGGTTCCAGTTTTTTTTTAAAGTCATTTACTCAATTTGTGTTTGGAACAGAACATCACCATAACGGGTTGGCTAACCTTGTCTGAAGCTACTGGTGGGTTGCATGTCAGGAAATAGCGGGGTATCGCCAATGGTTTTACACTAATTTCATGGATGCTTTTCAGTTTACGTTTTCTCCCCCCGTCTTCCTTTTTTCCTTCTTCAAAACCTCAAGGAAAGTGCTTCTGAATATATCTGCTTAACATCTTTCACCTCGAATGAGGAGCTACACTAAACATGCGAGGGGCATGTGGGATGGGCAAAACTGCCCCTCCGGAGGGATCAGCGGATGCACTTGGCCGTTTGAGAAGGACCAGGCAGGGGGTTTTGCTCCTTAAAACAGAGCCCACACTCAAACCTGCAACCTGAGAAGATGGAGGTCCCCCTTCTCCTGCCTGTTTAAATGAACCCAGATGGCACACACAAACAGAGAGGCTAGCCATCTTGGAAAAAGGCCCCAGGGCTTTTTTTTTTTCATTCCGCAATACCAGTTGTCTTCCAGATTCCTGTGCCTTTTCTTCACCCACGTGCACTCGCGGTGAGGCGTTCGCTGGCTTCGTCGCGGGAAATATCCCAGAAGCCTCGGTCTTTGAGCTAAACGGTACATAGTGTGATCCCCAGGCCTTTTCCTTCCTGGAAACATCCCACCTGGACGGAGCCCTAAGACCACGGGCGGTCTTCAATTATCCGCTACATTAGCGCTTCATCAGATAAATCCTTTGTCTGTGAATTTGATTAAATTATCCGAAAGGCACCGATGACACGAAGTACGGAAAGTTTGTGACTGATGAGTGCGCTGGGAATGAGTGTTAACCTATACAAACAGTTCCTATGGGAATGTAAAAAAGCAGGACCCTGAATAACTGTATTTGAATGCTGAAGTAACTGTATGTATAAGGAAATTCATGCATTCACCATATTGAGATTGGACTTTTAATGTATTTTGTGCAAACATATAAGAATAAATGGTTTCAGGCCATGATTTAATGCTTTCTTTAAATTCTGAAAGCATACTGCGGTGTTTTGATGGTTTTGTGACTGACTGTATGATAAGACCTATTGATAACTGTTTTTCTGCTATTCTGATAATACACATGTGATTTAAGTCTATTGAAAGATATGTATTGGCTGGTCAATACAATGCTTTAACACTGTGTGTTGTGATGCATAAAATTCGATATGTGCTATAGTCCTCTGTTTCCATGGTAACTCAGTCCACCACACTACAGTTACAACTCTGTGAAGCAGCTGGAGACATCGCATCTATATAATATTTGAAACTACAAAAAGTAAAAGAAAAGGATCATCAAGTAAGAATTTTGCCTAAAAGGCATTCACAGCTTTAAGATGATATTTTTTCAGTTTTAGCCCTGAATTTCATGTAGTGGTTGCAGGTCTCTGTCAGTTCACATTACCTTTATGCTACCTTGATTCTGAGAAAAGGCAGACGTCTGTATCGTACAAGGAAAACACCAAAGGTCTTATCGCTGTGTATAATTCGGAAGACAAACCCAGCACGAAGTACATATCAGGAAAAGTATTCTGGAATTCAAATGTGTCCAGAATGACCCCATTTTGTATGACACTGTTTACCATACATGACAGAATACTGCAGCCAAATTTACAAAAAGTAAACAAAAGATAAACTTCCCAAAACACCTTAGCGTTTTACCTCTTTTGCATTGATGCTATTTAAACAACAAAGAGAATATGTATCATTAGATTAAACTCTGTTTTACACTCTTTGTTATAATAAAATGGCTTTTAGGCATTATCAGTTTCCATGCATTATGCATTAATTAACTTTGGATAGAAATGCTCTGTATACACTTTGATTGTGAAATTAGTAAAGTCAGAAAATTAATGAATCTTTGACACAAGCAAGCAGTATCAGCCAACATCATTACAATACAGTAATGGTGATTTCAGCATCAACAACAACAACAGCAACAAAATCCAAACTGACCTCACGGTTAAGGAGGGGTGCCTGAATTCTGACAAAGAAGAGTCCTTTGGATTTAAAAACACAACATTTTTTTCCTTCCCCCTGCGGTCCTGCCTGCATCACGAGTTCATCCTGAAGGCAGGCGTGACGATGGTGAAATGCAGTGCTGTGCTCAGAGTGAGCTCATTGTTATACTCTTCACCCCTTCGCCACCTTTAAAGTTCCAAGCGAGCAAAGTACAGTCCTGCTACGAACTTGTGCCCTGTAGAGGAGGACAGCCTCTCATCTCTAGGTGGTCCTCTGAGAGCCCTTTGTCTTGTTCTGTCCTCATGAACCACAGGGAAACACAACCGCTTCTGTTGTCTTTTCTTCCATTCTGATCTGCACGGCTCCTGCCAGAAACAGTGACTATCACACCTGTTCGTTTCCTCTCCAAAAACAATTTAGCAATAAGAGGGGAGGAAATTTAGCTGCTGACCTTGTTCAAATTTGATGCATCCTGCTTTTTGGATGACGTTTCATCTCACCCTTTCTGGATCCTCATGAAAATGAATTGTCTTTTTCTTTTTTCTCTTAAAGAACAAAATGTTCTGGTACATAGAAATCTCTACCACTCCCTGTCAAAAGCATCACAAATGTGTTTTTAAAGTGCAGCTTTTTTAATATTCCAAATGTGCGTGTTCTTTTTGTTTTTCCAAATAACATTGTAAATTTATTTTTCAGAAAGTTTTACAGAAACAATAACCCAAAAAATATTTTGGGTTATTGTTTCCCATCCTGAAATGCCCTACAAGTACAGTTATTTCTAATCAGTTTTTTTCTGATTAATGTCAGTAGTGATTTATTACAGATATATACAATAGCTATAGTTGTAATGTATATCACCTATTGAAAAGAAAGCTTTGTTTATCCTTAAAGCTGTTCCTTGTAAGCCATATGCTGAATGGTTTTGATGCAACAAATGTATGTTTTAGTGTCTATCAATATTGGAGAAAGTTATTTCTACAAACAAAATTAAGTTAAAAGTTGTTTGTAAAAGGAGTTATTTTTTAAATTAATATGAATATGGGGAAAATTGCTTTTAAGATTAAACTGTACTTTACACAGTAACTGTACACACTGCATACTAATTACATCACTGTAACCAAGTTCTTGTTAAGTTTAAAAAGTTATCACTTACACAAGTAATTTGTAACTGCAATGGATTACTTTTTAAAAGTAACTTTTCCCAGCACTTCTCTCAATAAATACTGTATATACACTATACCCGTGTCATGCTGATGAGCCTGAATTAGGGTGAAACAACTTTCCATGGCTTTTTACTTTGATGTCATACACATAAAGTGCAATAAAACTGTTTAGACAGTTCTGCCTTCAAGTGTTTTGAAATGACCAGAGCTAATTAATATTAACATTTCCGTAATTCATAGCACTTAAAACACATCCGAACTCTGAACGGTATTCCTTGTAATACGATTTTGCAGATATACAGTACAGACTATAATTTCCAGTGGTCATCTTACACAAGATTTTGTCTTTGGTTTATCTCCACCCTTCCCTAATCATTTATAACTGTCTATTGTCTGTGACCTGAAATATTGTAGCATCCAACACACACTACACTGTAAACATGAGACCATTATATGTTCTGTGTTTTTCTACACCTCTGCTGGTGTTTATTCTCTTGTGGCTTGCAAACATTTTGTGGAAGAGTCACAGATTTTTACAAGCATTCCAATAATTCTGGTCATGCGTGTACCAGTTTCTGAATATCTGAAAAAAAAACAACAAAATATTTTTTCTGTTCCCTACAGCCTGTACGCAGAGCAGTTCAACATCTGTGATTATTCACTTATCCAGCCCTCTGACTCACAGACAAAAGATCACCAAACAGCCACATACTGTACAGTTTTCACCTTTGGAAGACCCACAGATCTGATAGACAGTCTTGGAGCTCAGTCTTAGTCCAGTACTGGGACTAAGCCAATGTGGGAACAACAAATGTGGGAAATTTGCTTTCGGATGGATTGCAGGATTAAATTCTAGCAGCAAGGAAAAAAGAACAGAAGGAAAAGTAGTGCATTCCTCGCTTCTTAATCTAAAGGCACGTGACAGAGGGGAACCAATGATTCTTAGCTTTCATCAGGCTCAAGAGTATTTCTCAGCATACTCACCCTTGAGTAACCTGTGTCACTTTTAATTTAACCAAATTTCTGTGAAGGAATCCAGATCCAGAATTCTGAAACACACACCAGTTCTTTGTTTGCCTGAGTCACATTTATTTTTTTTCCAGGTCCAGGCACAGTGGTAAGAATAAACTATACATTTCCTTTTTCATTTAGCTAAACATTGACCCCTGGTTATGCTCATTTTAAAAGAATTTGCCACCTTGAAATAAACAGTTAACTTTATAGTGCCAAAACCACAAAACAACAGGAAGGGGTGACAATCTGTGTGTTCACTGCCATGATAGACAAATCACCCCCCAGTAAAAACTCAGTAAATATTTTTGAGTAATCTCAATATTAACCAGTGCGTTTGTTTCAATTCAATGCTTAGCATTACAGGAAAATAATACGCCCATTATTCAAAAAGAGCAATATAAGTTTAAAACATTAATTTAAAAAAATCACTATGCATGATAACAATAATTTCTAATGCAGAAAATGTTTTTGATGCAAAGAGTACTGAGCACCACATGCTATTGGTACCTAAGCAGGTTTACCATGGTAAACAGCCAGGCTTTCCCCACCCCTTGTTCTACCTGTCTCCTGTAGTCTACATCCTGTTTCATACCTGCAGTGTTTGCCATGGTTTTGCCTATGGCATTATATGTCCTGTTTAATGGATCTTTAGCCACAATTACTGCTAACATAGTATTTGTAGTTTAGCACTAACATTATTTAACTAATTTTGTTGTTTCTACAGTAAATAGTTATTTGTAGGTTGTCCAAAATTGTTAACAAAGATACAAAAAGATCAGTTTCTGACCCTGAATATATTTTAGTTATAATTATCTACAGTAGTCTTATTGATTGAATTTATGGGAGAAAACAGCCTTTCTAAAAGATAATTATGAGTCTTTTTTCTAAACCTGCTACCTTTTTTTTAGTATCCCACAACAAATTGCTGTAAAGGCAGTAGAAAAAGCACATGAGGCCAAGCTCTCTCTCCTTTTCAGATGGTGATACTTTCCGTGTGGAGAGTTATTGATTTTCCCCTCACAAACGACAAACCCTTTCCTATGAGAGTCCACACGCGGGATGGTCTTTCGGTCCAACCTTGCTCCGTTTTGCTCTAAATTGTTGGTCTGCATTCGGCACAGTTGTCTTTTTCTTTACTTAACATTGCCCATCAGTTTGTGTTCCTTTTTCCACTTTGAAATGAACCTGGGGCATGTTTCTGTCAGTTTCCCTTTGTGTGCATAACGTACCAAAGACAAGTGTTTTTTAACGTACAGAAGTAATGACAGCTGCGGACTGGACAACGGGGGCAGTGCCACTGGCTCGTAGCACTCGGTGTCCTAGGTCCAATTCCGTCCTGGGATGCCATTCCGTGGGGAGTGGGTGTGTACGTTGTCGTTGTCGTTTGTGAGGGGAAAATCAATAACTCTCCACACGGAAAGTATCACCATCTGAAAAGGAGAGAGAGCTTGGCCTCATGTGCTTTTTCTACTGCCTTTACAGCAATTTGTTGTGGGATACTAAAAAAAAGGTAGCAGGTTTAGAAAAAAGACTCATAATTATCTTTTAGAAAGGCTGTTTTCTCCCATAAATTCAATCAATAAGACTACTGTAGATAATTATAACTAAAATGTTTGCTTGGATTACCTCTGGGTGCTGTGGTTTCCTCCCATCTCTCAAAGACGTGCTGATTCGGATAATTGGTATCTCCAAATCGCGCTTGCGTGTGTCCTGCGAAGGACCAGGGTCCCCTCTATGGCGTAGTCCTGTTTTGTTCTCTGTACTCCAAGTTTTGGGGTGGGCCAGGTTGCTTCAACCACATCCATTATCCGAAATAAATGGCTTTTTAATAAAGTGATGGAGGATGACTGCTGAATATCTGTGAATATAAAATACGGCAAGTATGCAGGATATTCTACAAACTAAATAGGGAATGAGATAAAAAAACTGTAGGGCAGCACGGTGGTGTAGTGGCTAGCTGCCTTGCAGCGCTGGGGCCCTGGGGTCTGTCTGCATGGAGTTTGAATGTTCTCTCTGTGTTTGCAGGGGTTTTTATCAGGTGTTTCAGTTTCCTCCCATAGCCCAGAAAACATACCTAATATGTTTCATAGAAAACTGGCCCTGGTGTGAGTGTGTGCATGCCTGTCTCTATCCTGGAATGGACTGGTGTCCTGTCCAGGCTGTACCCTGCCATGTGCCCGTTGCTTGCTGGGATAGGCTCCACTGTGAACCTGTGAATGGTTACAAAACAGTGGAACGCTGTAGAAATGGCCTCCTTTTTTTTGTTTTTATACATTTCCATTTTGTCTTAGAAATCCAAACTACCTATAGCTCTTACACCCCCTTAGTTTTGAGCACTTACAATAATACAAATGGAAGAGAAACCGAACATACTTGACTCAGTGCATTCCTACTGAAGTTACAGTACAGTAAATACTTTCTGTGTGTGGTTATGCTAAAGTAATACGTTTTGTATTACTTTAGCATAACCAATACAAAACCAAACGTTCAATCTGTAATATCTTATGCTTAGCCTACTGATTTACCTTTTAAACACAGGTTATAATAAAACAAGTGTTTTGATTAAAGCTTTAAGAAGTTTTATTCTAAGAAAGCATTTTCTCATTCCCATCCTCTAGGCAGAACTCTTTTCTACTCTCAAGAACATGAGAGGTTGTTCCAGACTCCCACAACCCATAGTGTAAATATTTGTTTCCTGTTCTCAGTTTTAAATGCTCTACTCTGGTTTCTGCTGGTGAGCTCCTGTGCGTTTCGCTACTGATTTCCTCCCTCTTTTCTTCTGAGGCTCAGTGCAAGGCTGGCTTCACTGAGCCTCATATTTATCTGCCACCCCTGCAGGGGAATAAGACACCTATAAACATCAGCATGAGACCACTTCCACCAATCTCCAGAGTCTCTTCAAAACACACCCCTTCAGTCTATACCTGTAATATAATCAACAACTGAGGGGTCATTCAATGTACAGTTTATGCAAGAATGCATGTACAAATAAGAAGGTAAAGTAAATACAGTATAACTATTAGACCAGTTATAATTCATGGCATCAAGAGTGGATAATTGCTCCATGAAGCTGTGCTGAAGCTGTGAAATTATTCTCTTAATTTATTCTTAACAGCCCAGTGTATCATCTGCAGTGGAATGATTTGATATTCATACTTATTTCATAATTAGCTAAGAAGACTAATGGACAAACTGTAATTATCAAGTACCAATATATATCTGGTTGATTTAAGAGACCCAGCAGGGTGCATATTGAAAATATTACTTATAACTATGGACACTTCCTATCTTGTCTCTTCATGAAGAAAGATTTCTTGTGCAAA